TCTCTAGTTATTTGAGCTTAGGGAAGAACTCATCAAAAACCCATTATATTACAAAAGGCCTGGAAATTCATTCCTACTTTAGAAGGGCCAGGTTACAGCTTTGCTGTCTTCATGAGTTCCAGCTGTAAGTCGGAACACCGAATTAAAAACTAGTACCACAGCACATGGTGCCCTGATACTCCCCCACTGTTAGACCCCACACACATGCCCAGCCCTAGATATTTCTTGGCAGCTTACTAGGGTCCACCATCCCATAATTCAGCCAACAGTTAAGCTTCGTGCTCAAACAGTAGTCACAGAAACAGTTTGACAGTCCACTTTGGACCTTACCCAGAACTGGCAAAGGAGAAAGGTAAGCTGCACAGGGAGCATCTTTGAATAACTGGGCCCAGTTCTGGTTTCCATCCACTTTTGCTCTTTCCTTAAGAGGCTAACCCATGGGTAGAGGCACAATGGTATCTGCCATTTGACCTTGTACAAGTATCGCAGCTCATTGTGCCTCAATTTTCTCAGTTGTCAAATGGAGCTGTTGTGAGGATTAAATGAAGGTCTTTTGTAAAATTCAAGGCACAATACCTGGGACATGGTAAGCCCCCAGTACTGTATAGTTAGTATCTGTTATGTGCCAAACTCGGTGGTCAGTATTTTACAGATAGTCATCCTAATCCTCACAACACTCTTGAAAAACTGATCTCGTTAGTTCCATTTGAGGAGATGGAGTCTCAGAGAGGTAGCCACGATTCCAAGGTGAGCCAGCAGTGAAGGTACCAGAATCAAACCAGGTCGGCCTGTCTGCAAGGCCTGTGCCCTCACTGTGGTTTCCAGAGTAAACAGTGTATGAGCAGACATCTCTGTGTAAATGGGACCGGAGCCATCAAGCCAAACAACTCCCTGCTCCGTGCAGCCCAGGGTAATTCATATCCACTGAGTAAACACACCATCTGGGCAAGAGTTCCCTTGTGTCAACTTGCCTGTTCTAGGAATTCTCAGTATATACATTGGAGCCCAACCAAAAATTCAGTGTGGGGCTCGTCGTTCTTGAGATCCCTCCCAAGGGGCTTAGCTAATAATAAACCAAAGGGACCTTTCTATGAGGTGGTTTCACGCATGGGGCTCTCCCTTGACATCTCCCAAGAGATGACTTTTTAGAATGGCTCTGACATACCTCAGTCCCCAAGTCTCCAGGGAGTTAAGGGACACAGTTAGCCCACCTGTAGGCTCCCTGCTTTGACAACCCCTCCCTTGCCCTCAGCCTGAATGAGATGTTCTGTGTTCTCGTAGGACCCCATGCAAGTATCTGTTAGAGCAACTTGTCACATTGTCTTTGCCTATGTCTTTGCCTCTCTTCTGGTCCACTTGAGAGCTGAATGCTATGTCCTCCTCACCTTGTAGCCCCAGAATTTATCACACTTTTCGGAACAACAGTAAGCACAGCATTATCATAGGTGATATTTACTGGGTACTTACTGTGTGCATTTTGAGGTAAGTACCGTTGTGATCCTCACTTTAAAGGCAAGGAAACTGAGGCACAAAGAAGTGCTTTTGCTTTCAAAGCCACAAAACCATAAATGGTAAAGTTAGATATGAACCCAGGCAGTTTAATTCTAGGTCCATGCTTTTAACCAGTACTATGTGATGTTTCCACATAGTGGATGCTTAATTCATTGATATTTGCAAATGGATACACATGTGGATATAGTTGCGATATTTTGAGAAATATGATAAGACTTGTGACAAAGATCTTTGCAATAATGAGCTGTGTTACAGTGGAGTTCTTCTATACTTTCTGCTTCTGTTATTCTGCAGTTCTTCGTCTCCCTGCTTGTGAACGTGGGTTAGATGCAAATGCAAGTTCTGGCTCTACCATTGATGAGCTCCACTTCCGTGGGCACATTATCCTTTCTTAGTGTCATTTTCCTCAGCTGGAAAGTGAGATTCATAATGGTGCCCACCTCATTTAGTAAGCTTAAAGGAAATAGTAATATAAAGGGAAGAATTAAAGGAAATAGTATAAGTCACCATTTTAGAATAGTCATTCAACAAACATGAGCAGGTTTAGTTATTATTATCACTGTTGGCATGACTGTTGTTTTTAAAAGTTTATCATCAAGAGCACTACTTTCCATCAGTGGACAAGGAGTTCTGAGTCAGGGTGAGCATTACTAAGTGATATTGCTGCAACCTGAAATCTAAGGTCACCAAACTCAAAACAGTGTTTTGACTATGAAGTCCATAGGGCTGCAAAGCATTGCAGAGCTAATGGAGTCTTTGTCCAATACATACATCTTCGTCCTGTGGTGCGCACTATGAGTTTCCAGGAGCCTGAGCAGAGAAGGGAACGGGGGATGTCCCTGGTCAGTACCAGCCATCTAATGTGTGGTAGCCTCACAGGCGGTGTGGACAGCTGTTGGGAGATCGTGAGGTTACCGAATACCTAACAGCTAACAAGAGTTGCCATTTATTACACAGTTGGTAATGAACTTCATGCATAGCAGACATTCATTAATTCATTCAACAATATTTATTGAGCCAGATGGTATTCTAGGCTCAGGGAATCAATAATGACCAAAATAGATAAAGTGCTAGATTTTTAGATCCTTTTATACTTCATAAAGGAAATAGCAAATGCTGGAATCCCGGGCGTGTGTGTGTGTGTGTGTGTGTGTGTGTGTGTGTGTATTGGAGGGGGGGGGTATTTGTTAACTCGGAAATCTAAATAGCTGTTATTGTGACACAGCAATAATTGTGATCATCAATTTGCAAACTGCAAGAAGCTCTGGTATGGCTTGTAGTCTTGAATTCAGCCTATTGTTTTATTGCTTCTGGTCAAAATCGATGTGTCCTTGGCTGCCCTCCACAAAGGGAAGTTTTATGCTTAGGTTGGTAAGCAGGTAGAAGCTCTGAAATCCAGTGGTTCATTCCCAGGCTTGCCGCTGAGTAACTCCTAGGTGCCCTCCAGAGTCTGGACAAGGCCAGTGGGCACCATGCCCATTGAGATGTTGTCCAAGCCCATGGAGCTGGGGCTCACATGTCAGTGACTGCATAGAAAGAGTGAAATACACTGGTCTGTTCAGGGCTGTGGATGGTGGGGCCCAGAGCCAGTGGGCTGCTACTGACCCACTTGTTTAGGCCTCTTGCATACCTGTTCCTGAGAAGGAAGTTTCAGAGGCAGCATTTCAAATGCCACTGAAAGGAGAAGGAGGAGGGCAGCTGGACACTGCAGTGGGGCATAAGGAGCCCAAAAGTAATGCTCTGTTCTAAGTCAGGATCTTCGTGGCCTCGTTTCGTTTGCAGGGGATGCCACTGTTTCTAGGCAACACAGCCACTACTTAGCTTTACAGGGCTACTCATTCAGTCTGTCAGTTCTGAAGCCGTTCCATTGCACTCTGGTCCCATTAACATAAACTCACAACGCAAGGGTGGTGCAGTCAGGCGGGAAGGATGTTGCAGTGGGACATCGGGAGACCCGGATTCTGGCCCTGGCTGTGCCCCAGTTGGCAGAGGGACCTTGGACAAGTGCCTTCGCTCCTGGGCTTCCTTTCCTTACCCATAAAGCAAAGGGAGTGAAACTGGTTGGCGGTGTTTCCTATGATCTCTTCCGGCTCTAGAACTGTGAGTTTGTTAACTGGGTATTTGTAGCCTTAAAGTGTCTTATTTATTGTTTTCAAAACCGCATTGTTTTCAAAACCACATTTTCTGCTCCTTAAGTGTTGCATTCCTTCTGTTGCTTCAATGCCCATAGGGCTGGTCCTTACTATTTGACATCTATTGTTAAATTAATGACTCTAGGAGGAAATCATGAATGAATGAAGCCACTGTCACATGCTGGTGTAGCTTCCAGACTTTGGGTCTCTGTGTTTCAGTGTGAGTTGATAGGAGGATTAACATAACCAGTATGAGGCATTCAAATGGTGCAGACACACAGAAATCACTTTCTAACTATTGTTGCTGCTGTGGTTTTAAGTATATGCCCTGTTTTCTAGAAATATAGAATAGTGTGCACAGGGTTTTGTAACCACCTTTTTTCAGTAATGAAGAATTTTCCCCCCATGTCACTGATATTCTCTTATTTAATTTTACCAGTGGCATCCTATTCTGTTATGGGGCTTACAGTAGTTTATTTAACCAAGCCCTTAATCTTACACATTAACTCCACTTAAGTTTTTCTATATTATAAAAATATATCTAAATGTTCTAATTTATTTAAAAATAAAATGTATTTCTTTCATAACAGGAAAAATATTTTCAATAGGTAATACTGATCCCATGATGCTGTCGGCCCTGCCTGCCTCAGTAAATGGCAGACGCATCTGTAGGAAGGCAGGCTGGGAGCACTGAGTACAAGGCGGCCTTTGCTTTCTATGCGCAGAGACACGTGACCGCCATCAGTTAAATTGTCACTGAATGAGAGTGACAATTTCTAAATCCAAAGCAATTTCCCTTCTTTATCTTGAACAGAACTAGGAGAAAATGTGGGGCCAGGTCATGTGGGAAGAGGATCCAGCCAGAGATGGGAGGCCTGGGTCAAAGCTCCCTTCTGCAGTCTGGCCTCACACCAAGAGCTTCCACTTCTGGACCTTGGTTTATTTTTTTGTGAATGAGAATATTAGTACTATTGTTAGTGTTGCCTTTTTGTCGCTGGTTTGGAAGACAGACACAGGAGGTTGTGAGCCTATAATGAAATTGTGGGTAATATTTTAATTTGAAGCATTAAAGTAAGTGCTGTACAGAAGTGAGTTATCGGGAATATGGGGTCACTGGTTCTTTATATACCATTTATCCCTGGAACCGTGGCCTGAATGTATCTAGAGTTAACAGAGGTATTTGAGAAAATTCTTACATCATATACCACAACTATTAAGAGGGAGCAAAGCAGTAATTCAACCCTCTGCTCTTTGCATGCTTTTTTATTTTTAATCCTTGCCAGATGTAGACTGGCAGTGAGCCCAGAGGGTGAGTGCTTTCTGATAGAGGTAGTTTTGTTCTTGTCTTCCTTCTAGACAAAGAATTCTTGAAGGAAAAGGAGAAGTTAGAAATGGAGTTAGCCGCAGTGAGGACGGCGAGTGAGGACCACCGGAGACACATTGAGATACTGGACCAGGCTCTGAGCAACGCACAGGCCAGGGTCATCAAGCTGGAAGAGGAGGTGAGACTGGGGTGGCTGGGTAGGAGGGTGGGATGGAGTACTAACGGCTTCCACTTCCTTTTCCTAACCTAGCAACTTCAACCAGAGCCAACTCCAAGGAGTTGAGTCAGGTGGAGAAATGTAGGAGACCTCCCAGATAAAAATTAATAAAAACAGAGTCAGTCCAACCCGGAGCCAAGCAGAGTATGAAAGGCATACATGAATATCGTCAGCAAAGAGCTCTCTCAGCCTAAAATCCAGCCCACAGCCCATTCATTGGTTGGCAAGTGTCTAGGCTGGGAATAAATGGAAGAACTGGAAACCACTGGTGCCTATAGAGAGAAGAGACTAACAATTAAAAAAAAAAAAAATAGTTCAGTTGCTCTGTCTTCGAGTTCTTGATTGCATTAAAAAAAGCAAAAGTCTTTGGGTCCAAATGCGGTAGGGTGGCATTCAGCAAACCTGTCTCCAGTTTCTAGAAGTTGGCTCAGGCTTGTAATGACCCCTCCAAACCAGGAAATTTTGATCCCACTCGAGCGTTCCGG